TACTACTACTACTACTACTACTACTACTACTACTACTGCTAGCTGAAGTCAGGTCTGATTAAAGTCATAAAATTCCTCAAGGCATTATTGTAGCATTATTAGTACTAGTATAGCACCTATGCTTGTTGTTGTATTACGCGAGTTTGCCCTTCGTCTGAAAATTTTGATGGAGGGCTGATTGATTGGCGCGTTCAAGATACAACGTAGTACTACTACCCAATAGTTCCAGCAATAGGACTCTGGCAGTTGAATTTTCTATATTGAATGAAGTCAGATTCTTTTTCCCACGTCTGTATCCCCAAGTATCCTGCTACAAAAATTATCGGAAGAATGAGCGATGAAATCTTTGATCTAGTTGCTCGGACGTGGCATTTGTTCTTCCATTTTCTTCAGTGCATTTCGAATTCGTTCCCCCGTAACATAAAACAAAGCATCATCGTTTCGCTTCCCCACAAACCACTTCGGAGTCCCCTTTGTTGATGTCAGAGTTGGTGCTAACCGCGTTGATTTCTCCTTCTGTTCAACAGACATTGGATCCGCACCAAACTGGTCGGCATCGAAGACAAAGCCCAAATCTAAATCCCTCAGGTTGATATCGGGATTCGCTTTCAAGATATCCCGTGCCTCTTGGTCATAAACAACCTTTCCTCTTCCTGTAAAATGGTAATCAACAAAACCGTTCCCTTTTTCGATACCAAGTGATTCTAAGTTACTCAAAGAACCACCCAATCCGTAGTGTACATGGAAGCAGTTCTGTCGGGATAAAAGAACAATGAATGCCGAGAACAAAGCAACCGACAAAACACTAGAAGTAACAGAACTTATTTTCGATGCAAACGTGACATCAAGAATCGGAAGACGCAGCAAGAAATGAAGGCCACTGGTATTGCTCTTTCTAGAAAAAAGTTCACGTTTTGTGCGTCGTTTTCGAGAGAACGACGATGACGGCGTCGAAAGCGAGGATCGTCTATTGGTGCGTTGCTTTTTAGTCGAAGAGAGAGATTTCATTTTGTTTGCTTGCTTCTTTGTTCAAGAGATTGTGCGGAAGGAAGGAATTATTGCAAAGACGATGCTATCAATCACAAAGAATACCTCTCAATATGGTCTCCGTTCTCCAAACGTCTTCTGACAATTTTGTAGGGACAGTCCAAAAAATGGTTGAAATTTAGGTCTCATTTATCTAAGCTCGTATTCCGATACGTCATACAGTATTTCATGTTTGTTTTTAATATACCGGACAAAGGTACTCAACGAATTCAAACATCATCACTGTAGCACCTCCACTTGCTGGTAAAGTCATAATTTGAAAAATGTTAGTGATAGAAATCATAATTATTATGACAATGGAGTACTCCCATCCCAAAATGTGCCTGATAGTACAATTCGAAACCTGGTATCTTCAGTCGAATACTGGGAAGACCTTGAAAAAGAAGATAAAATTACTGTACGGTGGTGGCAGTAATCGTCCATGAAAGTCATCGCGAAAAAGAACGTACCAGAAGTACTTCCAATTCATGGAAGTACCGTACCGTACGTTACGAGTTTTACGTAAAAAAAATGGACGACAGTATGCGTATGGTATGTCTCAAATCATATGGGGCAATATTGATTTTCCCAAAAATTGGTTTACAATTATTGTCCATTGTGTTAAATCGTGAAAAACAAGCTTCAGCTCGACATTTCATGACAGGGAATCAAAACAAGCGCATACCATTCCAATAGCTGCATTGCAGCCAAAAATAATACTTTTAATTCGCCCAAATATCTAGATTCGAGCTACACTAAAGGAATGCTGACAAGCATTGCGACTCGCTTCCGACGTCAATTACCAACCCATTCGGATGAAAAATCCCGCCGAGCACGATCACATGACTTCTGGTTTCGACATGTTTGAGTAAACTGAAAACTTCTAGAATATATTTTTATGTCCTGCACATTGAATGATTTGTTAAAAAATAGGGATGCATTCTATTGAATCACTAAAGTAGTAGCAATAATTGTCCTTGTTTGTTGCGTTACATGGAGGCTTCGATCTGCCCCATCAGAAACATGAGGCTCTTTTGTGCCTTGCATTCCAGTTCGATTTGGTGCCGCAATTTTCGAAAGAGACCGCCAATGTCTTCCGATTCGCCAGCCACGTCGCCATAGATATCGATCAGAATGTGCACCACGCCCACCAACAAGCTGGTGTATTCTGGTCTTTTAACGTACCGGGTAACGTATCGCAGGAGGGGTTCGAGGGTCTCTTCGTCCCGATTTGACAGGGCATGTGTGAGACCCCTTCGTTTGCCCAGTTCTTCCAGAACTCCCGCAATGTTTTTGGGATTCCGCGTAGAAAGTACCTCGTCGAGCGCTTCGGAGTATCGGAACTGCTTGAGGGCGTGGTTGTATTTGTTGAGCTTTCGTTGTTTTTTCGTCTTGGAAGCCACCGTGTAKTCGTTACTGGACGTCCCCGCGTCGGCATTCATTCCCCGTTGGAAAAAGCTGTAGGTCCCCGCCCTCGGCACGGCCTTGCGTTTCTTGTTTGTTACGCTGGGGCCTTTCATTTTGAACAAAACATGGCCAGAAACGGTTCCAAAGGCAAAGCGATCCCCGCTTTTGTCAGTGGCTACACTCGTGATTGATTCCGCTAGTTTGGTGCTGTACAGATGTCCCATTTGTCCGGTGCTTTCGTTCCACGAATGAATCTGCACGACACCGTCCAAACTCGCCGTCATGATTCGCATGGAAACCTTTTTCGTTCGCGTTTCGTCATCTTCGTAATTGGTGCGAAGAACTAGCAACAAACTAGTGATCGTCTTGCGATGGTGCGTCCCAAAGGTTCCCAGGCACTGCCCACTCAGAGGATTCCAAACCTTGACGATAGTTCCACCGGCCGACAACAGCCAGACAGGAGCCGATGATTCGTCGGAGCTTTTTAGAAAACACACGGCCTCGACGGGGTACCCGTGCATTAAAGTAGTAAGGCACCTTCCTTCCTCCTTTTCGTCCGCATCTTTGTTGTCCACATTGGAAACATTCCAAATCCGAACGGTGTGGTCGTAGCTTCCTGTTGCGGCCAGTTCTCTGAATTCCGTTGTTTGGTTTTGGCGCTGTGTCTGTTTTGTCGTATTCTGCCAAAGGTCCGTACATCGGATCACATCCCCGTGTCCCACCAGCGACACCATCGGTCGTTTCTTTTCAGTCGATCCCAGGTTCCATATCCGCGCAACACCGTCGTCGCCACCCGCAAGGATGTACTGGCCGTTCCGGAACCACAGCAGGGAGCGCACCGGAAAGGAATTCGCAGAAAAGGTGGTCAACGTAGCTCGCATGGTCACGTCGCAGACCCGCGCCTCCCCGGCATCGGTACCGACGGCCAGGAGCCGCCCGTCGTTGCGAAAGGACGCCGACAGCGCGAGATTTCCGCCCGTTTGGACCGATCGGTCGGGGTCCAGATCCTGGCCACTGCGGATGGCAATGGCATTCCCATCGCCGCTTCCGCTATGGGCACTCTGGTACAGTGCACGAACGAATGCCGACCCCGTGGTCGAGGTTCCGTACAGATGCACACGGGGACCGCTCACGACCGCAAAGGGTGGGTGCTTCGAGGACAGGAGCGGCCCGAACAAGACCTGGTGGGCGATCGCTTCCCTCCGCTGAAAGGGTGGGATGTAGAGCTGGCGGACATGGGCGTATTTCTTGTCGTTTGTGGGTGCACTGTACTTTTTAGAGTGTCCGATGCCGAGTTTCTGTGTCCAGTACCGCGCCTCGTTCGTATCGGCAAAGCCTTCCTGTGCCTGGGTCAAAGAAGCAACGGTGTGCCGTTTGGTCTGCAGGGACGATGTCGTTCGGAAGTTCCGAGTCGAATCGGTTCCGGCAGATATCGTGTTTGAACTGCTCGTGGTAGTGGCGGCCATTGGGTGCTCTCTCCTTTTTCTGGTTTCTAATTTTTGCTCTTCACCGTGCCCGTGAGATATTGATCAGGTGACGGATAATCTTTCTCGTACGATACCTGAACAGCAGCTGGTTCGTTTCATCCTTAGTGCATCGTTCGATCTTCCTTCGTTTGCGAGTTCCGGTACGTACGTACCGTGGTCGTCTTTTTTGATTCCATACTGTATTGCGATACCGTAGCGTAGCACACAGAAGTGTGTTCCGCATTTTTCTCTACCTGTTTGAATGTCAGAATTGATTGGCTGTGCTTTCGTCCGAAACGTGCATAGTCAGGTAATGAGCTTAAAAGTAGAGCTGTGATTACTAATAGTACTACAAGTAGTACTAGTAGTAGAAGTACAAGATGAACCATATTAGTAGTAGGTCCAACTTTGCATTGTAGTAGTTCTATGGTATGGCACAGAATGAGGAAGAAAAATATTACTGCTGTGTTTGGAAAACATACTACTACTACTACTACTACTACTACTACTACTGCTACTACTACTACTACTACTAGTACTACTACTGCTACTACTACTACTACTACTACTACTACTACTACTACTACTGCTACTACTACTACTACTACTACTACTACTACTACTACTACTACTACTACTACTACTACTACTACTACTACTATTACTAGCTAATGGCACCACCATGGAAAACTTCTTCAAGAAGAAGTACTACTAGTAGTACTGCTAGCAACAAAGTTGCACTAGTAGTAGTAGTAGTAGCAGTAGTAGTAGTAGTAGTAGTAGTAGTAGTAGTAGTAGTAGTA